AATCATCTTACTGTTTTTCACACTCTGTCATAATGCTATGAGTAATAATTTCTGAACATATAATGGTGCTGTATACCATTGCGTGCTATATCTATTTATTAATATAAATAGAAATTATTACAAAGATTTAAAATCAATTTCGTAGCTTGGATATTTTATATTTGTAATGTGTAAAATATATTTGGGCGGAATAAAAATTAACAGTTATTTTGACTTTACACTTACATTTGTTGAAAAAGATATTCACTATGATCAATAATATCTTGTTCAAAATAGTTCATATAAAATACGAAACACAAATGAGCATATACAAATAAACCGGTCGCAATAACTTCAAATATATTGTGGGTCACAACTGCCTGTAAAAGCTGCCATATCTCGATATATAATATCATCATGCCATTTCTTCTATATTTTAATATTATTTTAAAATTATCATTCACGCGAAACATATTAACGCTTAGCGATACCACACCAAATGCACACAGAATAAGATAAGATATAGAAAACTTCGATTGCATATTGTCGAGAAATTTCGAAAAGATAAAACAATCTATGTTATATTAATTTATGTTACACGTAAATTAATATCATTATTTAATGATATATGAATTAAATATAATTAGTATACACAGTGTCGAAAGTCTAGTAGTCGAGTTTTTCATAAACAATGCAATTTAAAAAAAAATCATTTTAAAAATTATAAGATTTCGAAGATTTCGCTACATGATTATAATATTGATTCATTTACAGATAGAACCTGTCGAGATCTTTTTTACAATTTTTTTATAGCCATTTTTTAAAATAGAACCATATTTTTTTGTTATGTAATATAATTCTTCTCGCTATACTGGATATAAAAATATTAACATACAAATGTCAAAAAATTAATATATATTATAAGATCTTATATTTTATTTTGACATATTTTGATATATATAAAATATTTTTTGATAACCGTATTTTAATACTTTTATGCATAGAATAATGAAAAAAATCGATTGATATAGAGAAAGAATGTAATTATTTTTAAAAAAAAGTATGTATTTGCATATTGCTAATTTCATAATCTTTTTAAAAGCAACTTATACATCAACTATTACTATTATCTTCTTTATACCAATTGATTTGTTTTTCATTATTTTATGTATAAAGATTAAGATATAATTATCAAACAATGAACAATTTACAAGATATTTTATATTTTATATCAAAATGTCCATCTATAGATAAATCAATATCATAATCGTTGTGGCTCCCTCGAAATATTATAACTTATCTGAAATTTTTTTTCAAAATTGTTTATTCGACTAGATCCAGATTTTTAGTTAGACTTTATATATGACTCTATTACATTTAAAAAATATTATCAAAACTATTTTATTTTTATTATATAAATTAACAAATCAATATTCATCAATATTAACAATTAATATTAGTAGATTCAAACATTTCAAAGTATATCAAGTACTCACTCTAAACAATGTTGATGGGTGCTAAAAGCACTTAACAACTTAGTGTAAAATCTAGGTTTAGTTTTTGAGGGTATTGTTTTTGATATATCAAATGCACATGTTAAACGATAACTGTAAATATAATTATATTATCCTATATTATCGATATAAAAAATATATGTTAATCAATTCAATTATTCGATATATTTTCCACTTTCAAAACAGTAATGTTTATAATTAAGAGATGTAGTAGCATCTCGCGCTAAATATAATGTCTGTTGAGATTTAAATCATAAAAAAATTAAACACAGGCTAGAGAATTATTTTACCTGATAAGATTGAATAATCCACAGGCGTGCTGTATAAATATCATAGTCATAATTTCTGTTGCTACAAGTATCGTCATACCCAAAAAAGCGGATATCATTAATACGAATGAAATTAAATAGAAATGTTTTTCTTGATCAAAAAAGCATTCTATCTGTATTGGTGACATTGGTATTGGTAACATTGAGAACATCTGGCACAAATATTATTAAAAGAAAGAGTCCCTGGATAAACAATGTCTCTGGATAAACAATTGCTGAAAATATTCAAATTCAACAGACAATATGTAAATAAATTATTAACATTTGCATGTATATGAGATAATCTATTTTTAGGAATTTCTAATAGATTCTGTTTTTATTTAAAACTTTATTTATTTTATCTTAATCTTTTTTTGCTTTTTAATAAAGTCCAAATTCTATAAAAATGTATGGAACAAAAACCGTATTCTATTTTACTTACATCCGGAAAAGATCGTATAAAATCTTGTTTTATGCTTAGATGCATATTTTCGAATTATTTCTAGCTCGTCCGCGGTTTTTATTAAATTCCAATCATATTGAATTTGATCAAACAATTTTTCACCTACGATTAAGAATAATTAAATGAATAATTAAAAGTAATTACATAGAATCGTTTTTGATCAATTTCTTAAGATTAAAACAACTTACATGATCGGAATTAACACTATATTGTATTTTAGAACATAAATTATACAAAGAATATTAAACGAGAAAACGTCAATGAACAGCGACGTACTATATTCATGCGTAATAAATGTTGCCAACAGAAATAGAATTGTTATATAAATTAAATATATAATTTCATTCTATCATTACATATCAAACATTCTATATCAAATATTCTATGTTCTATTCTAAATATTCAAATATTCTAAATCAGACATTAATGTAACATATATGATCTAAGTGCGTTTTTTATGATATTTTTTTTACATATACATAATCTTCAATTCTATACGTAACGTGTAGTTTTGAAGAAGGAAACGTGAATTTCGAAATATGCCATAATTTTCAATAAAGAATTTCAAACTAATTAATATATAATTAATATTTTTGTAATTTAAAGACTATTTTATGACATAAGTAATTCAATATAATTTTGTGTAATTTATATTTTAAATAGTCTACATATTTTTTAAATTAACTTGAAAAGTATATATTTGTGATCAATAATAGAATATTTTTTATTAAATAATATAAATAAAAAAATTTTAGGTTTTGTTATTTTGCTTTATCTACACGCAAAACACATATATAAGTTTCATTCTTATTCTTATTTTTTTCATTATTTTTAAACTGGATTGTATTTTCACTTTCACTTCTTATATAAATGTTTATTGCACTGTCACTCACAAAAGTGTATGTGTATATGGATATATGTGATGTGTAAATGTATATGAATGTTCACGGTGTATCGAATTTGGGTCGATTCGCTAAGCACAAATAATTACGAATCAGTCATTCCTGCAAGAACAATAGAATATACGTTCAGTACAATGATCAGAAGCACCTGTAATAGGATGCCCTGAGTGAGAATGAAGGACACACAAAGCATTCGAATGACTCGACGTTCTGGCTTTTCGTAAGGCCATAGACCGATCGACTCCATTAGATCGAGTCGAGTGATTCCATAGTACTCATTGAGGAAATCCATTGCGATTGCCTTTGCAGATTTGCAAAGATTACTATTCTACCATTCTAATACTATTCTACTATCATCGAAATATTTCAGTAGCTGTTACAAATCTATTATATCAATTTTCCGCATTATAAGGGTATATTGCCATGATTTTGTGCACGCAGAGATTACGCAGTATCATTATCCTACTATCATCAGAATATTTTAGTAGCTATTATTGCATCCACTTTCTAATGTCGTAATGATGATAATATATGCTATTACGAAGAATCCGATATCAAAAGAACAATTTATAAATTAACTTACTACCAGATGATCTTTGATCGGACGAATCATTCAATGTCATGCACCGTAAATTACTAAGAGATTGCAACATAAAACAACTAAATTGCATGTTTAACTATTGGTCTTTTTCAGAGCAGAATAGCAGCAGAATTTTTACGCACGCGCGATGCCAAGAAATTTCTTACGCTCATCGTTTGTATAGCAAATTATTGTGTGATAGTTTCTCTTCCGGATGACTTGCAAGTATATTATGATATCTACAAACTAGAAAAGATATGTATAAAACTATTATCTTTGAAGTTGGTTGTGATGAACTGAAAAGTGTATATAAAAGAAGAATATTAATACACATGAAAGATATTTAAGTATCATGTTCATGAAGGAATACCAAGTAAAAAAAAGATATTTAAATATATTAAAAATATATTAAAAATATATTTTGTTATAATAAATGATAGTAAAAAATTTCGCGTATCATGCTGAAGTAAATTTTATTTAGCGTGATAGCATACAAGTATAAAAAAAATATTATAGATAATCATAGCCATTTTGCCATATAAATCATGTCCGAGTGGAATAAAGTAGCATAGAGTATGATAGCGACATATTTATAAGCTGTAATGAAATTTATTCATCATTTACGTTAAATATAATATAGTCTATATACATTTAAGATATTTATTACTTTTATATATTTACTTATAATGAAATGATTACCGTAGCAAATCCTTCTAATGAGAATACAAATATACTGCCAACATTAAAACAGATAGTCTTTGAAGATCTGTGAAGTATAAATAATATGTCTTTTTTAATATGTGTAGATACCATGTACCACTGTACATTGTAACTGTAAACATAAATAATTAAGTCTCTACAGATAACAAAGATTTTATCTGACTCAAAATGGATGGAATTATGCATTTCACACTTACGTTTGTTCAAAAACGTCAATACTATTGTCTATAAGGTCTTGACCGACGTTATTAACCCAAAGCATATAACATATATGAGCACAGACAACCAAACCAAAGCAGATTGCTTGATCTGTATATTTTAACTCAACCGCCTTTAAGAACTGAGATGCAGCAAAAAGCTTAATAATTGAGAATTTATAATTCTCAATAATTAAAAAGACAAATTATTATAAATTCTTATTAATATTGCAAATCCTACTCACTTCAAATAAATTAATGCTCAAAGAAGCTACTCCAAATACACATAAAATAAAATAAGAAAGAGAGAAAGTGGAGCACAAATATTCGATAAACCTTGAATAAAAAGATATATATTCATAATGTATGTGCATATCGTACGTGTGTATGTAAATTTTTTTGTATATAAAAAATTTATAGATATTTAATGTACGTGTGTATTCTATAAATATATACTTGTATTATATGTTTCTATTATATACTTAAATTATATAAATTAATATATATGATTTTCCTACGGAAACATGAATTCTAATTAATCTATATAGTATATGCCTATTTTAAATATAATTTAATCATACATTATAATTAATACATACTCTAAAGATCGTCTGTGAAGCTTGATAGCCTCAGACAATTTAGTACAAATAATACACTTTATTTTTGATGTATTTATTTGTTGTATGCGATTGTCAAATGCATTCAAAATGCGATAGCTAAAGTAATATTATAATTGCATAATTTAAAATAATTAAAAAATGAGATAATAATAGAATATTAAATAATAACTAATACCTGGTAACTTTTAATAATCCGCAAGCGTGTTGTACACATATCATATATAAAGTTTCAGCAGTTAAAAATACGGTTACACTTAAAAAAGAAATTACTGAAAAATTTAGAACAATAAAACGGAAATATTTTTCCTGGTCAAAGAAGGTTTCGATTGCAATCGGCAGTTGATGTTGCCGAGACTCATTCAATGGTGCCACAATATCGAGAATATCCGGTACGAAGAACAATACAACGAAAACCATGATACCCAAATATACAAGGACTAAAACCAATAAATGATAATAATATAATTATTTATTATTATATAACTGATAAATTATCATATACTAAAATAGTGGATTAAAAAAATATTAATTATTGATTGTTTTAATAAATAATTAACATAACTTTTATCTAATATTTTTGCAAAACTTTATAAAAGTAAATTATTCTAAGGCTATTGTGATAATATTGCGAAACATAATAATAGCAAGATATAATATATTTATTAATTACAAATAAAAATGACAATAAATATTTATAACTTCTCAAAATATAAATATTCTAGTTCTTACATCCTGCAAGAATAGTATATAATCTTCCTTTATTTGCGTATTTCTGTATTATTTCTATTTCCTCAGCATCATTTAAAGCATGCCAATCATATAGAACATGCTCTAAAAGATACTTTACCTGTTAATTAAATATCATAATTGTTTGCAATAATTAATTTTATTGTTAGTGTATAATTGTATACTACTAATCTATTTAAATAAAAGATAATATTGTGACAACAAAGATTCAAAACATATCACTGACAATACTGACGATAATTTATATATACAAGATATTGCAAAAGACGATCAAAAATCAATTAAATATTAATTTATATTTATATTTAAATAATGAAACTATTACAATATATATTTTATTAGTAATAATAATAATAATAATAATAATAATAACCACTGTTAACCACTTTTTGTTTTGTTATTATAAAAAATTTTAATGGTTAACTCACTTCTTCTGATTTGAAGTATAGCGTATTATATTTCATAGTACAGAGGATAACAATGAAAGAAAAAGAAAATACTTTTATAAGAAGATCTCTACTGTATTCACTCGTAGTAAAGCTCATCAACTGAAAGTAATTATTAAATATTCCATTAATGATCATTTCTATATTATCTTAAATCCTGTATAAATATTCAATGATAATAAATACATAATAAATACATCATGATGATGAATAAATATAAATATGTTATTTAATACAATAAAATTATATTTGTAAACAATTCTTTAACAAAAATCATTAAAGAATATGAAAATTAAATAACTTAAATAAATCTTATAAGGATTATAATCTTATAAATATATTTATTACGAAAAATGTACCTGCGCAATTATAGCTATTGTCAAGAAAGACAATATTAAAAACATTTTAATTCTTCTGAATATTAGTTTTTGATAAGGCCATAAACCAATTAAAGACATGAGAAGGCGATTAAGATTAAAATAATGACTTTCAAACAAATTTATTTTGTACATCAGAAATATATAAGTATAAAATAAAAAATTCCCCACTTTCTACCTTTCTTTAGTAAATATTATCAAACTCCTTTTTTTTTCTAGTTTGTTGATTCTTGATATACTGTTATCTAAGATAATGTTACTATCCAATATCTTTTAAATTAAGAAATTTTCTGCGTTTCCACGAGAAAAGTAAATAACGTATAGATCAATTTCCTTAATGGGTTTCTTAACTTCGCATAAAAAAAATAGCGAAATAAAGTGAAACTTAAGGAAATTATACATAATGACAATGCATCATCGTCATATTACCGGTAGAAATAAAAGGAAATATATTCTTAAAAAATAATTTCTTTCCTTCTTGTTCGCGCAGACGTAGTAACAAACCATCCTTGCAGTTTATTGAATAAGAGTGTCATTCATAGTTGAACAGTCGGTCAATATACATAGTGTCAGTTGTTAGTTTTTCTCAAGAAATTGATTCTTTAAACAATACATCCATAGATTATCTCATTTTCAATAAGTAAACATTGATTAAGATATTGGATAATATGTTATTTAATAAAAATATTTATATTATTTGGAAATTCAAGTCGCGCAATCTACAAGTCTACAAATCTAGAATATAATATACATTATAAGATAAATTATTACATGTTTGTACGCAAAACAAGTTATACATTATGCATAAGTAATGAATTATTCTTGTAATACATTATTCTTGTAATGAATTATTCTTGTAATGAATTATTCTTGTAATACATTATAGAAATATTTTCAATAGATCTTCTTTATAATATTCGCAGATACGCTATTAAAATTATTTCTAATTTAAAGAATTATTTCTAATTTCAGGATTATTATTTCACAAAGTATTTAAAAAGACTTATTACATTTTTCTGAATATACATCTCGGATATTTTCTCTGAAATATATATAACGTCAAATAAACACCTTACGTAATGTAAAATTGGAATCTGTATTGGAATCTCTATCGTAGCAAATATGTATTTTCTTAATTATGAAATAAATATAATTTAAATTAAAATAGAACCAATCAAAATATATTTTAAAAATAAAAATTTACACAATTCAGAGGAAAATAATATTTTTGAAAGACCATTTAAAATATTCAGTTATTTATATATTACTTGAAATATATAATTATATATGTATAACTATATTATAATTTTAGCTTATAATAATTATATATTGAGATATAAAGCATATACATGTATCCACTTGTTGAAACATTTACACAAATGACATTGTGAAGAATGCAACTGTAAAAAATATGGACAAAATTCATGAAGATGCTATGTTTCCTCCAATGCTTTTTACTACATTTTTATAACTCACAAATACAGTCTTCTTTGCTAGTAAATGTTCTCAACTATTTATCCTGTAAAATGCATCTATGCAACAGCACACACATCATAAAAGAAGATTCCATAAAACATATTCAAAAAATGTCATATAATATATTATGACCAAGTTAAAAAGTATTGCATTTTTTATTCCTAAAATACTTAAATTTCAATAGTGTATTCCATTTATTTTATTATAAGTTTTTATTTTTAAAAAATTATAGTTTTGTAAGCAATATATCGATATATATTTAACAAAATATATTTAATAGTTAATTTATATTTAATGTGATGTTATGATAACATGATAAATCTCTTTCAAAGCTTAAATTATTATAAAATATTATAATATTATTATAAAATAACAATTATTTACAAATATAATCCAAATTTAATGATTTTTTAGAGCGACTGTGGAATATCTCCGAAACATCGTATGCTCATATATTTAGAAGTGTGCGCATAATAGAGCACACACAAGGCGATATGGGGATCGACATTTTGGATGTATGTATGTATGTCTCTTCGTTGTGCATCATAGCTGATGCATAGTGCTGTTAGACGGGGCCTGGCATAACGTGTGCAATACGTGCATCTCGCATATCTCAGCGTGCATCCTTCCTTCCGTTCCACCCTCCGAGAGTTAGGCTACATACCTACCACGTGCAACTTACTCAATATCGACGAATAACGGGGATTATATGTCGATATATCGATTTACATGTATTACGATTGGCAAACGAAACGTTCATTTCTTCCAAATGGCTACATCAACATCGATTGGCATCACCAAACGAACACAAAATGTTAACTACAAATCGACTTATGGCTCATATCAAAATGAATAAAAAGATGCATACAAAATTAAACATGATGTAAGTAACAATGATAAAGTATTGCATGTGTTATATACGTAAGTGCATATTACGCATATTTGTATCTTTCCAATATTATTATAAATTATATTAATAATGTAATGTTTAACTTCCATTTTTATTTCTATTTTATTTATATTATATCGATTATTTCATTTTTTATGTATAGATGTTATAAAATTTTTGTGTATGTAATTATTTGCAAGAAGATTTTGTTGTCTATAATATATATAATAATTGTCAATAATATTAATTTTTTCAATTGAAAGCACAGAATTGCGATTGTATTGTTCTTTGCAAATTCAATAAAAATGATCTTCTCAAGAAATCACAAAATTCTTAAAAAAGGCAATATATAGATTTTATTAAATTCACAGACTGTTTGATCATAGCAAAACCGGTTATGAATAAATATCAATGATGTAAAAAAAAGTAGCAATAGTTGAAAAGTATAATTTTCGAAAGAGAAAGGAATCACTGAGAGAGTAGATATATTAAAATTAATATTGGAACAATAATACTTTAACAAATATATATTATTTGTATCTTTCTATTTATGTAAAATTTTAATAAAATATATTTTTTTTCAGAAAAAATTTTTAATATTATTTAATCAAAAATTATTATTTATTAATTCCAAAAATTGGATATTGTTTCTGATTGTCAGATTAATAAGGAAATAATATCAAGAAATATGATGGTTTCAATAACAAAGGAAATATATCAAGCATACACGAGGTAAACTTCTCTAAATCAAATTTTATGCAAATAGATTGCTTGTAAGATATTTGACATTGTCTTTATATAAATAAACAGATATAAATATTGTGCTATAAAAGATAAAAGTAATAAATAAAAAAATTAATTTTTATAATTTCAATATTTTCATATTTTTTTACACTTTTATACTTTTATACTTTTTAAATTTGTTATATTACTATTATAACAATTGATTTAGAATTAATCTATTTGACTTCCAAAATAAACAGTAACGACTTAGCGAAGGATCCCAACACAAATTTATAATATAAAAATACATATGATATACATTTAGTATTTTATTCAATTCTTTCTGATTTTTTGCAGAAAAGATTTACATGTGACTGTCACTAACAAGCGGCTTTTAGTTAAATACCTTTTCTCTGTACAGACTACAAAACAAAATCGTAGTATACTTTTTTTAGATAACAATTCCAACATGACAAAATTAAAAATTACACTTGTGCTGCGGATATACAAATATAGAGAAGCCTGCGGTGAAAAAAATGTTTTCATATTGTACCAAAAACAAAAAGTGTAAGTTTATGTATATTGAACTAAATACAAATTGTGTAACTTTATACAGTAAACATCGGTTATATTAAAGGCTTAAAGCATTATATCAATTTCATGTGTTTTAAAAGTAAAGCAATAAACTATTTTAACGCATAAAATACAGAAATATTTTGAAACTATTTTTTTTACTGTTGCTTTTATTGATACTGAATAATTTTTTGTAAAAGAAATATATAACATCTCGAGCTAATAGCAACATGATCGCTGCGTTATTATGCGGTATATTTCATCATTTTTTTTCTTTGATTTGAGTATATATATTAACGCGAAATGGCAATGTGTTAGATATGTGGTGGTCAGTACATTATCTTACATTCCCTTCCCTATACGTGCATCCTCAATGTATAATATGCGATGCGTGTCTTCTTTTATACTTGAAGCGGTTAGGCCCCTTTGGATGCAACTTCCTTCCCAAATTTATCGCCTGTCCGAATCGCGGACAAGTCCATATAACCCGTTCATGATTTCAGTTCCCATCTAGCCCGTGCAAACCCCGCGTGCCGGCCGCACAGTTTTCATTCTTGTATAAATCTCATTGCAGGCAATATATATTGCACGATATTTCTTTAGCGTGCTTGCTCACATCGACCATTGGAATTTATCTCGCTCACCAGAATAACCGAGATGAATGATCGTTGTTGTGCCGCCTTTTAATTTCATATTCTTATTATATTTATTGATACCGCAAGAGATACAAAATGTTCTTGAATTATCTTTATTCTTTTCAATTTCAGATGTTCAATCATGATAACAATTTTGGGACAATTCTGTATATACAATAAAATTTATTAATATTCGAGTGCAAAATCTAATTTTACTTCTGAACATTTATATAAATTTATATTTATAAATATTTTTATTCACAAAAATAAATGTTGATTATTTAATGTCTATAAATATTATTTAATAATCTTATTAAATTACGTGCAATATTAAAAGTTTAAAAAAATATAATAAAAAAATAAGTATACAAATATTTATAATGTAAGAG